CAGCCACACAAGTGTATTGTAACGCCCCATGATCTAAATGAGAAATTTAAACCTACTTTTTTTATTTACTTGCTAATACTCTTGTAATTTATTATTTCACCAGAGCAAGCTATCATCTCAAACCATAAAGAATGCTCATCTACAGAGTATATACGATATTCAAAATAATCTAGATTACAATGATTTTAATAAAACTAAAATACAATCTAAACTACAAAAATATGTGTACATTTTCACAATAGGACCTCCTTATTCTCATTATATTTCTCCATCAAACCTCTCAAAAAATGTATGACTTCCATTGCATCACAACCAAGCATTAATCCAAATTGATTTTGAGAAACAATATAAGCATTAATCCAAGCACACCTAAACCTATGCACCATAACTCTCTCCCACATTTTTAAAGTATAAAACATTAACTAACAAGATAATATCAACAAATAATCAAAGAAAAACCATAAAAAATAACCTTAAAAGAGAAATCGGTTTGTTTGGGGTCGGAATCGGTCGGCGGTCGGGCGTCGGAGTAAACTCGTCGGCGGCGGTCGGACTGGGGACGGCGTGCGTTCCGGAACTGGGGTCGGCGCGGTCGGAATGGGGTCGGCGGTCGGAGTTCCTTCGTCGGGGGCTGATCGGACGAGCGGAGGAGCCGATAGAGCGAGTGACCGAGAGAGAGAAGGAAACAGGGAAAATGAAATGAGCGGGGCGAGGGGGCTCGTATTAGGGCTTTTACCGGCGGTTTTCCGGTGGTCTAGACCGCCGGGAAAAAATCACTTATCACCGGCGATTCAGACCGCCGGTTCACGTTGATATCAGGCAGTTTTCCGGTGGTCTAAACCGCCGGAAAAACTCACTTATCACCGGCGGTTTAGACCGCCGGATAATCGCCGGTTAATGTTGAAATCCGGCGGTTACCGGCGGTTTAGAGATCGTCGGTATTACGACGGTGTATCGTAGCTAAGCGTCGATTAAGCGTCTTAGAGTCCGACGGCGTAACCGCCGGCGGAGCCGTCGGTAATACCGACGGCCTATAAACCGCCGTTCAAACCGCCGGTATAGGCCATTTTTCCTGTAGTGTTTAATTTGACTGCCCCTAAAACAAAGAGATTCACCACTAGCAGAGTTCACTCAACTATACTTTCCTCATCAGGATAGTTCTAAGAACCTGATATTTGTCCAAAAAACTCATGTGATTTAATTTTTAAATATAAAAATTTTAATTTATTAAAAACATGATAGAATTTAGAT